GATAGAAGATGAAAGACCTAAAGCAGTGGAAACGAACCAATAAAGAAAAAGTACTCACCTTGAAATGAAGGAGAATCCACGGCCATGAAAGTAAACAAGAACATAACAACAAACAAGGTCATATTCGAGTCAGTATAAAAAAATAGCGGAGTTATAGGCAAGTACCATAGTAAGACGGAACTCCGACAGAGAGGAGATTACATGAGTAGCATGCACAAAATCATTAGATATGATGAAAGTAGCTCCGGATTGACGGCATGTTGGAAATCGACGACGAGAAGGACAACACAGAGAGCGACTGCGGGAGATCTTGAGGATAGATGATGAGTACACTTCAACGATAGGGAAAGTGGCGGAAAATAACTGGGAACGAAGGGTGTAAATACCGAGGATAGTGGCTGAAATGATTACCTGAGCAGTGAGGTAGAAAGGTAATCGTGACTGGTGTCGCATGGCATGGACATTACGTGTATGCTGTGAAAGTAAAACCTGGCACGTTCTGTCTACACTTGCATGTGTATGGTGTGAAAGTAAAACCTCGAACGTTCTGTCTACATTTGCATGTGTTTATCTCTATGCACGGTGCTTAGAACTTGAGGGCGGTACCCGCAATGATTGACACTGTATAGACCTGTCACTCTTCCATTTTACATTCACTGTCCTTATCTCTCTCTCATAATTCGTAACCCTTTTCTTTCACGATATCATAGTGGCGATTTGTTGGAGATTACTATAGCGTGGAGATTACTCAACGATTTTTTGAGATTTTATTTTACTTATCTGATGTCTACTGAAGACGATCAACAGCGCTGTGGGGTTAAGAAGGGAGGAAGCGTCGGACAGGAGGCGGCACAGACACTCATCATCATCTTCCGGATCTCAAGGGAGGAAGCGCTTAAGAAGGGAGAGATCGAAAACTCCGAGAGATAGAAGACATAAGTCAAGATCACCATCGTCACGGAGAAGAAAGGCGGAGTCAGAATCTCCAAGGTGGTTCTCGAGGCCATTGTGGGAGCAAAAACGGAATGATTTTCGCCCACCGGAAAATCGAGCGTGGTTTACGGCGGATCTAAGGGAATAAATCTTTAAGCTCCGCCGGGAGATAGACAAAGTTCTCAAGACACAGGAGCAACTCATACGAAAGACAAGTGAAAAGCAGTCAGCTCGTCCGAACAAGAAAGACACCACAAAGAAGCCGGAGCTAACTCCGGACGCGCTCAAGTCCATCATTGATGAAGCACTGAAGCCGACAGAGATAAACCAAGGGGGGACAAAATTAAGTTGGTCGAAGCGCAACCGGTCAGAAGAATGCAGAGGCGGAAGATAAAGTAGAAAGGATGGTATCGGAAGTGCAGAAGGAGGTCAACAACCTAAAGCTACTAAAGTATGATCTGGCGGTTGTGAAGGGTGCGTTGCAGAAGATCAATGAACCGACTCGTACCTGCACTCCGATCGTGTCGTCTTTGGTTCATCCGAATAGATATGTGGGGACAATGGCTGGACTACCAACTTCAGTACATGGTAGCCGCAACATTCCGAGCCGAAGCATGCCAAGCAGAAGCGCACCGAACAAAAGCAGATTGGGACGCGTATCCCTCCACACCTCAAGAGAGGACGAACGGAGATTAATCGCAATGTGTCGGTAACGAAGTCAAAGGCAAAACGGAGCATTAATTTCAGGGTCGAACCGATGACGGACATGCATCTCCTTCGTCTTCACTACACGGACCTGAAGGTCTTATGCAAGATGCATGACATCAGGTACAAGGACAAGCCGCAAGCGATCTCGGCATTGAGGCAAGTTCGTAGATTGATCGCCTACAAGGGGCGAGACTTCAACCGGGATTCTGATCTTGAAACACAGATCATGCCAGATCCAGATAACATCAGAGTGTCCAATACAACTGGTGGCGACACAAGTGAGGATGATTACGAGAGCCTTAATACAAGATCAAGCGGGAGTGATGAGTATGACTCATCCGACACATCTTCGAGCGCCGAAGATCTGTCGGGAAGGTAGAAGACACCTCAACATCAGGCGACCTCACCACAACACAGAAGTGGGAGCAGAGACATAGACTATCAACGAAAATTGAGCAACTAGTTGATACAGGGAGTTTCACCTTGGTGTAGACATATGTACGTGGGGACGAAAGGAAGACAGTCCGACAAGAGATGGACTGAACACATAAACTTGGCTAAGAATCCAAATAGAGGAGCACAGCGGAAACTATACAGTTGGCTGCACAAATTTGGTTGGGAGAAATATGTTCTCATACTCATTTGGGCGGAAGTGAGATCAGAGGTGATAGGGATGGAAGCAACAGTGATTAGGAGACTGAATCCATTCTTGAATACAAGAGAAAAAGACAGACAAACTCGGAAAAACTGAAGACGAAGAAGGAGAAAGAGGAAGAAGAATGGAAACAATGGGTGAATCAGAATATACCTGTTTTGTTTAAATCGGTTTGATCGGGTTACACTACGAAGTTAACATCAATACTTCAACTGAAAGCAATGATTTACTGCATAGCTGGAAAACTATAGAATGAAAATTGGAAAGTAATTAAACGAACATTCGGATCAACAATTGTGGAAATTGACGAAACAAAGTTCCAGCTAAAAAAATGCAGAAAACGGATCGAAAATGGATGTATCTTCTATGTGATGGAACTGGTGCATACGGGACCGAAAACAAACAAACATGGAAATATTCTGATTAACTGCTTGAGGGCACCATGGAGACGGAGGGAACTGTATAAAACTCTCTCTCTCTCTCTCCCTCTCTCTCCCTCTCTCTCTCTCTCTCTCTCTCTCTCTCTCTCTCTCTCTCTCGTGTTAGCTCTTAGTCTCATTGATTTGGCTACCTTAGGGCTTCGTTCCCCGCGCCCACGCGATAGACAATAGGTAGTCAGCAATTTTGCCAAGGACCGGTCCCCCAATTTTTTTTGCCCCCGAAAAACCCACTTGCGTCCTGGTCGCCCGCCGCCAAAAATGCGACACCTTGACACAGACGCCGAAGCCCACTATACCGCAGCCTAAGGGCTGCGAATTACCAACAGGAGGCCGGGAAAACCTCACAAACAACCCGGAAAAAACAATCTGGGACCATTACCCAGCTTAGGTGCAGGCGATGGGGTGTGTCCAGGCAAACAGAAATGGCCAAAAGCGGGCCGCTGTCCTGACATTCCGCATCCCTGGGAAAACAAAAGGAACAACAATGCTTACAACACCCAAGAGCCTCTCTCAGTGGGTACACCCATGAACTGTTGAAATACAGACCTGTGTTCGAATCCAGATGATGGAACGTGACGAGTAAAATCAACTACTAATGAATTGCTTGGGGCCGGTCAGCTCAATGATAATATCTCAAGGCCGTCGCCCTTAGCTTTAAGAAAGAAAAAAAGAAAAGAAAAAGAAAAAAAAAAAACAATGCTTACAAAGCCTCACAACCCAGAGAATCTATCTACTCAAAAGGCAATTTCTTTCTTTTCCGAGCCCGGCGTTTGGCGACATCGCTCGTAACAAGCATTGTCAATTTCCAATACTTCACTTGGGCGTAAAGAGGGGATGAGAGACCTACTACAGGGTCAAGCGGGCTTGCGGTTAGCGCACCCGCGCGCTGCCAGGCATGCATGGCATTGCCCGCAGCGCAGAAGAGTTGCCCGATGCGAGGCAAGCAGCGCGCTTGGGCTGCTTGGCATGCTTTGCATCGCCCGCACAAGAGAAGCGATGCGCGATGCTAGGCAGGCAGCGCGCCTGCGCTGCGAGGCGTGCCGAGCCTGGCAGAAGGTGCGACTCGGATCTGCGCTCCGCCCTCGCTGCCAGTTGACCCCGCCGTGAATCTACGAAGGCTAGAGATGCCGCCTGGCCATCCTCGTGTTTTGAAGTTCTATGGCACTACGGTTTTTGACATGGATTCACATATATTGATTGACTCCTTGGCCTGCTGTGAGTGATTGACGGAGAAAAGAGTCATGGTATCGCGTGCGGACCTGACGGGCGGTGGGGAAAGCAGGCGAGGGCGCCACGCGCAGCGTGATGGAAGTGTTGCACTTGGATGTTCGTACTCCGCAGTTTTTGGAGAAGGGAAGTCAGGCTCTGACAGAAGTGATATGGGGAATAAAGTTCGGGGGTGCTGTTCGTGTCCAGGGACCCGGTAGTCTGCTAGGAGAAGACACCAAAGATTGGGGGAGGAACAAACAAACGCAGGATAGGAGAGTGCTTGAGGCGTTGCAGGGGAAGATATGCGTGAAGGGCGGTTTGAAGATGAACCGGCATATAGGCAGATAGGACGGCAGGCAATGAGATACATGATGCTTAGCATCCATCAAGCGAATCACCCGGCCGAAATGGATAGCAGAAAGCTTAGTGGGAGGCAAATGCCTCCTTGCCGTCGGACCTCTGCGGCCTGTCAGGTTGCAGGGATTCGACGGCAACGAGGTCGCTCATGCACGATGGAGGCAACCAGCTGCATACCGCCTGGACAGATGTGCGCCATAGACCTTCGCAGTGACTGCGCCACCAATAGGGAGCGGCGCCGACGATCCTCGCAGGTAAGGAAGCGTCATCTCTACTTAGCATTGCCCCGCCCTTACTCAAATCTATCGAAACGATTTGCTCTCTCTCTCTCACGTGTGCCTCGAGGAATAGATCTGTGTCCCTAGGAATAGATTTATGTGTCCCTAGAAATAGATCTATTTGCCCCTAAGAATAGATCTATGCATACACGCTATGCACGTGCGTAACGCATCATATGAGTATGTCTGAATTTACCTGTGCAGTCGTCTGTTTGCATACGTACTGTATAAACATGTGTGCACAGCGCGTCCTATACGCGGATATCCTGCTGTCGTTTCGTGTTGATTATACGTATGCGCGCTGCCATTTCTATTCATGGTTCTGTATGTGTACGCACGTAAATAAAATTGCATGAAAATATGCGCGCTGCCATTTCTATTCATGGTTCTGTATGTGTACGCACGTAAATAAAATTGCATGAAAAGTTCTATGCGCCAGGAGAGGCGGGGGGAGTGGCCGAAGAGGGTGGGCAGGGAGGGCACAGAGAGAGCGCGCGCGAGGGAGGACGGGGCGCACATACTATGTACCGTACGAACGCATACAAGCTACATGGGCACAGACACGCCCATGTATATTCAACTGTACACACCTGTACTACATTTATGCAGACGAACTTACAGAACGCATACAGCCTATACCTGATGCATCTACCAAAAGCACGTACACGTCATGCATCATGCCTATGTCTATCGATCTACCCATTCACCCACCCACCCGTCCATCCATCTATCCATCCTTCCATCCTTCCACCCTTCCATCCATCCATCCATCCATCCATCCATCCATCCAATCGTCCATCCATACACACATACATAGATGCACAAATACGATCGTACGATCATAAGACATACATACATACATACATACATACATACATACATACATACATCAAACATATGCACACTCATGAACATATGCAAAGATACCTACAGATTCTACACATACAAAAAGTACATAGACATGCGCCTGTGTCTCCTTACATGTGGAGTTGTATGGATTCGACATTGCAAATGCTTGAAAGCATACACTTGTTGAGTTCGTTGGTACGTTGTTATCAGATAATGATGCTGTGGACCTTTTTCAAGCCTGAGCTTTCAGTGGATGCGCGCGCGGCTTACCGCGTCTCCGCATTTGCAGCCATGATGGACGGATTGCAATGCGTGCAATGCGCACAATTGACGGCGCAGCATGCGGGGTGTTGGGCGACATTCGCTGAACTTCTTAGTGATCCACACGCCCATTCGAATTCTTTTTCATGAGCTCATGGCAATTCTCACAGCGGCACATCTAGTGCAGTAAGTCGCTATCCAAGGGAGATCCTCTCTATCATCGACCCCGAACAGCACGCTCAGGGTAGCACGGAAATAATATCCGTATTCAGAGCATTCAGGGGCCATACTGATATAATGACGGCGCGTACAACTCCGCGGAACGTGGTACCCTTTCGATCATCGATCATCGATGCACAGAAGCGCACACCACGCTGAAGAAAAATATATTCGATTTCATCCGTGATGCATGCTACGGACAGTTTCGCTTGTGAAAGGTGAAGGCCTCGCGGTAGATAGAGTGATGAGGAAATTAGGATCTCAGGTAGTCAGTCTACTTGGGCTAATGCCTCGCGGAACTGAGGATTTTTTCATATGATGAAAGTGAAACACACATGAACGTCAGGCATCGAAGTAACGTTGCCAAACAAACAGACATATGACAGTCATCGAAGGGAGGTACGAAATCGTTTGATTTAGTTGACGTTAATGAATTCGACGTAGTGTAGTGGGTAAATGATAAATGCGAGCTGGGGAAACGAGTGAAATGAGCGAGGCAGTGATGCATGCATGTTCGCCCTTGGATTCTTACTGCTAGATCTGGCCCTGATCTTGGCCTCCAGAAACGTTAAGGCGCCTACCAGTGTAAGAAAATTACTATTATTATGCCCTAAAGATTTGTAAAGAACAAGCAGCGAGAAGTGAATGAATGTCTGGCGGGACACCCGAGCCTTTGAATTAGCCGAAGAATAGATTAATGAAGAGATCGTCTTTGCATGACTGCTGCCGTTGTGACCGTCATGCTGCATGATCTCATTACTATTCACCAACGTACGCCGCCGTGGTCTCTGTGCCCCTTTTCTCGGGCCGTCTCTCCGGCTACTTATCCCGCCCCTGCCCCCTTTTCTTGGGCCGTCTCTCCCGCCACTTATCCCGCCCCTGCGCACGGCCTGCGCGTCTCTGACCTGTTCACCTTTTTATTTCACTCAGTCTCGTACCTGGTCTGAGCTTGTTATTGCTCACCTCTCTCTCTCTCTCTCTCTCTCTCTCTCTCTCTCTCTCTCTCTCTCTCTCTCTCTCTCTCTCTCTCTCTCTCTCTCTCTGTGTGCCTACCAACTTAAGAGGCCGTCCATGTAGACCTTTTTCCCACGAAATGTTTTTTTCTCTCTCGCTCTTTCTTTCGCCCTCGAGTTTTTTTATCCCCAGGTTTGGCAAAGATCCTTCTCTGTCTGTAACGTGCACGCCCAAAGTCATGTAGAGACGTACGCGGGTGAGCGCGAGCGGGGCAGACTCGCACTCACTCAAGCGCATGCACGCACTTACCTCGTCAGGACACTCGGCGAGCGATCTTGTGACGAGTCCGGCGGTTTGTGTCAGTCTCGCTTTTACTTCCAGCTTTTACCAACGGGCCTTGCTCAGGTGGTGCACCAATGAACTGTTGAAATGCAAAACTCATTTCGTTCCCGATGAACTACCTGGGGCTGGTCAGTCTGCAGATGATATCTCAAGGCCATTGCCCTTTTTCAAAAAAGAGAAAACGAAATTGATAGGAATTACCTTCCTAACCCCGCTCTTCGGGCTCTGCGGCACACACACACACACACACACACACACACACACACACACACACACACACACACACACACATGCACACGCACGCACGCACGCACGCACGCGCGCACGCACGCACGCACGCACGCACGCACACACGCACACACGCACGCACACACGCACGCACGCATGCACGCAGGAGCCATGTCATGTAGCTTATCAGACCTTGTAGGCTCTAGCGGGTCAGTGAAGCTGTGTCCAACTGCACCAATCTTCGACTCCAGCCTCTGATGATTCGCATTGCATTTCTCTTCCTTCGACCCCAAAACAACACCTTTTTCTACCGGTCCTTCTGTTTTCTTATTAAGGACACCATCCATTTCGTGGCTTTATTGTGTTGCGCTTGAGGGGAAAGGCCTCACGAGCGGTAGCTGACGTTGTAGCTGAACATTGATTTAACTGTGCCGTTGTGTTCGCGCGCTTCTTTTCTTTTTATTTTGGAAAACCAGAAACTTGATATTGCCAAAATGAAAAAAGATCTTCGCGGTTTGCATCTCCGATGGGACGTCGCCCCACCACTCACGAAACGTAAAAAAATGGGGGTGCTTCTTTCTGCAGCAGGTGGCAAGATACATGCATTACTGCTCATAGTAATGGATGAATCTTGCCAGCCATCTTTGAGAAGATGCGCTAGCATTTTACTTGTTTGATGAGTGGTGTGACCTACGATGACGCTGTTTTCTATTGGGGGAAATTGCGTTGGAACGTCTCATCCTGTTCAAACAGCCTGCTCGTCTGTCCGCCCGCATGCCAGACAAAAAATATTTTCTGGATTGGGCCTGCCAACCCCGCGCGGGATCAGCGGGGACACGACAGCACTCAGAGAACTGGGACCATACAGATCACATAGTCTTACAGAGAGTATGCGATGTGACATTCTCTGAAGGGGATTCAGCGAAGGGTTTTGGGGGGGTTGGGGCGGTTTGGGGGGGTTTGGGGGCGAGACAGTCACAGGAAAAGCGGGCGCCAACTAACGTGGCCTGCCGGGGCCCAAGAGGAAGCGGAGTGCCAAACGCCGCTGGGCACCCGGGGGATAGTGGCTCCTTTTCCCTTCTGGGGAGCATCAGTCCGGTTCCTATTCCCCCGGCAAGTCAAAGGAATTACAAAGAGTACTCACACACGCTCCTCCCCTTTATGGTAGGGAAGTCCGAAGGATGGCATTGATTACTTCCGGATGGAAGGATGTACCACCCTTCACCCCTGCTTAAGTTAGCCTGGCCTAATTTTGCTCTTTGGATTCTATTCTGGTTTCCTCTTTACTCTGCTACTTGTCGCTCTACTACTTGAACTACCTCCAGTCAGCCCCTCTCAGTTCCTTGACTGTCAGATTATCCTGAATCGCTGGATCTGCTGGTTCGGTCTTCGGCGGTAGTCTTTGCTGGGAAAAAAATTCAGCCTATTGGACCTTGTTGTAGAGAATCTTGGCCAAATCTTGGACTCTAGTTGACTTATTTAACTGTTCGCTCCTAACTCTCTACCTCGTCGTAATTTTCTAGGGGCTGTAGTACTCTTTACCTCCTGTCTGCATCGTAATTTTCTAGGGGCTGTAGTACCCTTTACCTCTTGTCTGTGTTCTAGCCCTCAAAATTTAAGGAATTGATTTTCCTTCAAAAGCTAAAGCCTTGAAACCCTCATCTTTTTTCTACTTATGGGGTATGTATAGTCCCTGGGGGTATAGTCTCGGGGGAAGGCTGATCTGGGACAGGGGAGTTTGGTGGGTCCGGTGTAGCTAAGTGGGGGTGGTGAAGATTATTCAGAGGGTTGGAAGACGAAGGGTTGGGGGGAGTTGGAAGGTGTATATGGTATATACTTGCTGTTTAGTGGTTTGGCTCTGGGTGTAAGGGAGGTGTCTGGTTTAGGTATATTTGCGCTGCTAACTAAGTGGTTACTGGGTGAATAGTAGGTGATGTTTATGGTTTTCTGGGTGTTTTAGGAATTAGATTGTGTCGTCTGCTCTGTATTGTGGACTGCGAGGGTCTGATTCTGGGGTGGGGATCTGTGAGCTTATCGTGTTGATGGTTGGTCTTTGGGCGTGATGGGATGTCGTGGTTAACCAGTCTTTCATTCTCAGTCTGTTTCCTTCTATGGAGCCTAGC